GAGATTAACCAGACCTGGCTCGGTCCTCGAGGGGCTTACAGTCTGGAGAGAAGAGCATAGCAATGTTCAAACAAGGTTTGTGGGATAAATGGACAGATGAATGGCTTCAGGGCCACGGGTGTATAGGTACACATTCAAAAGGTTGGCAGAGATGATGGGAGTTGGTACAATTGGGAGAGGGTGAGAGAGTGGGACAGAAAAGAAGTCTCTTTGTTCAGCATCTGTCAGGCCAGAGCAGAGGGTCCACCAGTGATCTTCAGGAGATTTAGTACAAGGTAATTTGAGTGTCTGGTTGTTTTCCGCTCCAGGAAGATGGTCCTTCCCTTCATTAGATCCTCAAAGGGGTGTGATCCAAACAAAGAGCTAGAAACCCCCGAGACTACCTCTTTCTCGATGAATCTTGAAGACTTGTTGAGTGAGGCGTGATTTCAGACACAGTTGGAACACTGCAGGAGAAAGTGACAGTATGGGTAGCTCTGGTCTCTGAGAATTGCAGCCTGTTGGAGACTGAAGAGGCTCTGAGGTTTTGCACCAGGAGGCCGGGTTCACTCATTGCTGTTTGCTCCGAGCCAGGTCCTCCCCTGGATCCTCAGTGGCTGTGGGATGAAGCCCGCCATGCGATCATCTCACCCACCATCACAGGGCCCAGCCCCTGGCAGCCTCACTCTCTGCACCAGCATCCCTTTCCTGCTTAGCTCATCCCTACATCTGAGCCCGTCTTCCCAGCCCTTCACCGTGCCCCACTGCACCTCATGGTCCCTCATTAGCAACCTTCTCTCTGCGCGTTCCCTTCATCTTTCCTACCTGAAGTATGGCTGTGTCCTGAGAACATCGTTTCCCTCACGCTGGTGGCGGCCGTTCTTTCTCCCATATACCGTGTCCTGTGGGGTCTGGAAGTGGGGTCCATGTCCTTCTTGATTTCCATCACTACTCTCAACTACTTCTCTTCCTTCATCCTTCAGAAGCCCCAGCCCCTTCAAAGTCTTTCTTTCTCTTTCTTTCTTTCTTTCTTTCTTTCTTTCTTTCTTTCTTTCTTTCTTTCTTTCTTTCTTTCTTTCTTTTTTCCTTCCTTCCTTCCTTCCCTCCCTCCCTCGTTCCTTCCTTCCTTCTTTCCTTCTTTCCTTCCCTCCCTCCCTCCTTCCTTCCTACCTTCCTTGCTTTCTTGCTTTCTCTCTCTCTCTTTCTTTCTTTCTTGCTTTCTCTCTCTCTCTCTCTTTCTCTTTCAGACAGAGTCTTGCTCTTGTCACCCACACTGGAGTGCAGTGGAGTGATCTTGGCTCCCTGCAACCTCCACTTCCTGGGTTCAAGCAATTTTCCTCTCTCAGCCTCCTGAATAGTTGGGATTACAGGCGCATGTCATCATACCTGGCTAATTTTTGTATTTTTAGTAGAGACAGGGTTTCACCATGTTGACCTGGCTGATCTTGAACTCCTGACCTCAAGTGATCCACCTGCCTCAGCCTCCCAAAGTGCTGGGATTACAGGCATGAGCCACCATGCCCGGCCGAAGTGCATCTTTCTTTATCACCCATTTTCACTTCTGGATGCTATTGGCTGCTGGCCACCTACTCAGTCCTCAGATACCCTCACGCACCTGCTCATACACTCCCCCAACTCCTGTCCTCAGCAGCTACATAGATCAGTGCTTGGCAGAGACGGGCCTGTCCCCCAGAGGCATTTTGGAAATGTCTGGGGTTTGTTTATTTGTTTGTCTTTTTTCTAATGTAGTTGTGCTGCAGCGTTTTCACTGAAATGTTTATTGTTTTGTTATAAAAGATTTCCCTTTATTATTTTTATTTGACATTATCTGTTAGGGCATTATATTAATTTAAAAGACATAGTAGTTTGCAGTAGCTTATGAATTTCATTTCAGGATAGGAATGGTGATGTTAAAATAAATTTGTTATAGAAAGGGAATGTTTGGTGTGATAGCATTGAGGATGGCTGAGGCAGATAGTCTTTCCAATTCCCTGGCTTTGCTATTGCTCCAAAGATCTTTTCCTCCAGCACACACCAGCCCCAATCAAATAGTCACATCCTGGATTCATAATCGCCAGTAACCTGGATTGAAACATCGTACTCTCTGACCATCACTCCCTATTCACTGACTCCAAGAATCCTCCAACCTCATAAAGACGTGGCCTTGACTCTCTCACTTTCCACTTTTCATTATTCCTTATACCTTTTCTGTTCTCCCCCATCCCCAGCCTGGGCTCCATGGTCCAGCAGGATAACCACTCTCTTGCAAGTACATATAATTCTCATGTCTGCTTGCCCAGGGAAACAGTTTACCCTGGTTAAACCCAGATTTCTTCTTCTTCCACATGTGCACCTGAGCAAGCAGTTTGAAGGCGTGGAGAAAAATCACACAACCAGTGACTAGAGTCACTTCAGATTTATGGCCACAAATCTCAAATGGACACTTAACACAGTGAGCTAATTCTACCGCATCTCCCTTGTAAATTCACACTCCTACTTTCCGAGATAATTATTTCCCACCTTCTCCTCTCTTCACAAATCTTTAACACTTCCTCTCTTATCTCTTCTTTCTTAGCTGATGACTTCATGGGGAAAAAAATATGTATGTGTGCTTGGATGAGAACTACCTGATTTTCCCACTGTCATTTCTATCATTCTCCCGCCACCTGTGCCCGTGGAACCAGTGGTCATTTCCCAATTTACTCAAGTTGACCTCTTGATAACATTGTAAAGAGTCACTGCACTCTTTCTGAATCCTTCCCTAGGCTTTTGGGTCTCCACACTTGCTGGTCTTGCTTCTACCCCATTGGTTGCTTCTTTTGAGCCTCATTCCTTGGCCCTATCTCCATCAAAGCCTCCACCAAGCCTCTAAACACCTAAAGCCCAGGGCTCTGTCTTTGGCCTTCTTCTCTCCCCTAAGAGGTCTCAGCCATTTCCAAGTCTTCAAGTTCTACCTCTACAATGATGGCTTCTATCTCCAGGCCAGACCTCTCCCTAAGCTTCGGACTCATATGTCCAATTGCCCGTCTGATTCTTCTAGTTAGCTTTCTATCAGACACCTTAAACTAACCATGACTAAAATGTAGCTAGTAATCACTCTGATAGACTTGAATCATGGGCCCCAAAGACATGCAGGTCCTAATCCCTAAACCTGTCAATGTTACCTTATATGGAAAAAGACTTTGCCAATGTGATTAATTTAAGGATCTTGAAATGGGGACTGTATCCTGGATTATTCAGGTGGGCCCTAAATGTAGCCACAAGTGTTCTTACAAGGAGAGGGAGATTTAATGACAGAAGAATAGTAGGAGAGGTGAGAACAGAAGAAAGAGGCTGGAACGATGCAAGAAAGAGGCAGAAATTGCAATTTCTAGAAACTGAAAAAAGGCAAGGAGACAGATTCTTCCCCCTCAAAGCCTCCAGAAAGAACCAGAAGGTGCCCTGCTGACACTTTCACGTCAGCCCAGTGGGACTGATTTTAGACTTCTGATCTTCAGAACTGTAAGAGAAACATGCGTCCCATTTTAAGCTACCAGATGTGTGGTACTTTGTCACAGCAGCAATAGGAAACGAATTCGGTCACCACAGCTACCACACAAATCCATAGCCTACCCCGATGCCCTCCACTTCTCAGGAAATGGCTCCCCATTTATGCAGCTGCTGAGACCAAGAGCTTCGGAGTTGTCCAGATCTTTCTCTTCACTCCCACCTTGCCAGTCAGCAAGTCTTAGCTCTACATCCAGCACACGGCCTGACTCCAGCAGTTTCTCACTGCTCCACTGCCATGACCCTAGTCAACGCTATCACCATTCCCAACTCGCATGATGCCACTGCTTCCTGCTTGGCTTTCCATGCCTTCTCTTGGCCCTCTTCACATGCACCACCGGTGGCTTTATGAAGGCTGAATCAGATCACAGCATTTCCCCTACTGAAACCGTCAATGTCTTCCCATTACACTCAGGATAGAGTGCAAATCCCTTGCCATGGCCTATAAGGCCCTGCCATTCACTGGCCTCTGCTCGCCTTACCTCCCTCCACTTCCTCACTTCTGCACTGTACTGATCACACTGACCTTCTCTCTGACCTTGCTCATTCCATTCCCACCTCGTGGACTTTGCGCTTGGAGTTCCTACCACCAAAGTGCTCTCTCTCCAGATCTTTGCATGGATCTCTCCTGTTCATCACTTAGGTCTCAACTCAGATATGGTCTCCTCCAAAAGGCCTTTCCCACCGCCCTTGCTGAAACAGGATCTCAGTGCCCACAGCCAGTGGCTATTTAACCCCAGTTATCTTCCTTAAGGCATTTGTCAGCTCCTGAAATTGTCGCATTGGTTTGCTTACACATCTATTGTGTGTCTCTGTGAAGATGTAAGCTCTCAGAGGGTGTCCTGCTGACTGCAGTATCCTCAGTGCTTGGCACATAGTAGGCATACAATGATTATTTATTTGCCTTGCTGCCTGTTGTAGCTTGTTTCCAACTCTATCACTGCCTCTGGCAGATATAACTGCATCAAATTATCTCTCCCAGGGCTGTTTGTATCTCAGTAGCACTGGGGTATCCGTGCAAAGAGTTAACCAGTGGGATTTCCAGCAACCTTTAGCAGGTGTAGAGCGACCGACCATGGGATTTCTTTTGTGGTACTTTAAAAGCACACAATTCATTCAACATCTGCTAAGGACTGGGTGCCATGGATACATAATAGAGGGAGGAAAAGATATTTATATTATGCCTTAGTGGATGAATTTGGATTTTGTCAAGGCAGGAAGGGGGTGGGGTGGAATAGAAGTGGGCGAAGGCACTGCCTGAAGGTGCTCAACTATTTCATGGACTCGGCCTGGTGGCCCCTCCACCTTCTGCCTACTGGAACTCGCTGAGCCTGGGAATCTAGGGATGGTCTGCCTGTGGCTCAGCACTGGAGCCAACGCCCATACCTTGCATAGATTCAGAGAGACTGTGGTCTCCTGGCAGTGAGCCACTTCCTCTCATTTGGCCTCTGTTTCTCCTCTCCCTGCTGCCTCAGGTCTCATCATCCACGAGGGACCCTCGGTGTATCGCATCTTTAAACGGTGGCAGGCTGTCAACCAGCAGTGGAAAGTGCTGAACTATGACAAGACAAAAGACCTGGAGGATCAAAAGGCAGGAGGCAGGACCAACCCCCGGACCTCCTCATCCACCCAGGCCAATATCCCCTCCTCGGAAGAGGAGGGCGCAGGCACCCCTGCCCCTGAGCAGGGCCCTGCCCAGGCTGCCAGCCACCCCTCAGGCCCTCTGTCCCAACACCACTGTGCTTATACCATCCTGCACATCCTGAGTCACTTGAGACCCCATGAACAGCGGAGTCCCCCAGGCAGCAGCCGAGAGCTGGTCATGAGAGTCACGACAGTGTGAGAGCAGAGGCCCAGGAGGAAGGCCATGACCACCACTGAGGGCCCGGAGCAGGGTGGGGAGGTGCAGTGGCACCCCCAGAGCCAGCAGAGGGAGCAGGCAGAGGGTGGGGGGCCTGGCAGGAGCCCTGGGGCAGGCTCAGAGTGGGAGTGAGGCTGGTGCAGGAGCAGTTCTGCTATTTCCAATCAGTCAATGCCACTCTCCACAACAGCAATGAAAACCAACACCAACTCAACAACAAAGTGCAATACAGGCTGAACCTGGCCCAACGAAAAAACCTGCCCCAATGCGCCCGCAGGCAAGGTACCTGAAGAAGCAGAGGCGGAGGGCAGGCAAAGCCTGTGTGACTGGTGGCAGTGCCAGAGGCCAAGGGGGCCAAGAGGAAAAGCGTCTGTGGTCTGCTCTGCTCTCACCCTGTTTGGTTTTGTTTCTCCTGGGGCTGTGTTCTGCAGGCAGCCAGGAAAGGGGGAGGCTCGTGAGCGAGCTGGCAGGGACACACTGCCTTTGGGGATCCTGGGCTCATTTGGATGGGCAAGATTCGCTGACAAATGGCTGTGGGGATGGAGGGGTGGATGGTCAGGGAGGGATGCGCAGGGAGGGAGAGCTGGTGTGAGCAGCCAGAGGGAGAGGCGTGTCTCCTTCCTGAAGGAACTTCCAAATGGAACTCCCGATTTCAGGTGGGCTCAAAGAGGGCTTAGGTTTGGAAAAGGGTGTCTTTCTGTGCCCTTGTTAATTTATTTTATAGTGCTTTGGTTCAAAGATGTTTACAGGACACACACACACACACACACACACACACACACACACCCCTCTAGAGAAAAGTACAGATTTCCAGTGAGTATTTGAAGCACAGTTCTGCTGCTGTGGCTTCAGCTTTGGAAGCTGTCAAACCCGGAGCAACTTTCCCAACTACCCAATCCCACCATGGCCAGGACATGGGCAATGCCAGCCCTTTCTTGTCTTGGCACATGCACATACCCAGTCCCCTCACGGTAGGGCACCCCTGCAGCTGCAGTGGTTGGGAGGAGCTTGGCCAGTGTGCCCCAAGGAGTGGAGTAGAGCCCAATCTAAGCATTCCTTGCTGCTTGGAACCCTCCCCAAAGAGGCAGTCAGGCTGACGCTCAGTGCTTCATGCTCCCTGGTCCTTCCCGTGCAGCCAGGTGGGCCCAGGGGTGCCTGGCAGGGAGCACTACCCCTGGACCCCCCTGCTCGCTCTGGGGACCCTGCCAGGGAAGGCCACTGGGTGGTCACCTGCAGAGTTTCTGGTTGTCACTGCACAATGGCCGCATCATCCATGGGTATTAAAAGGACACTGTCAAGTACTTTTTTAAACTAGTTTTTAGGGTTTTTTAAAACTCTCTGTTGTTTGTAATATTCTCTTAAAAGCTTGAAAATAAAACTTCTTTCCCTACCATTAGTGTCCCTTTCCATATGCGAGTTTTTCTTCCTCTTCCCTATCCTCCCTCTGTGCTGTAAACAGCCTTCTTTCTCCCTGTGTCTGCCCCACCCCTAGATTCTCTCTCATCACAAGAAATCAAGCACATTTTCATTTCTCCTTTGAGGGCATGGATGGGGCAGGGCAGACAGGGATGTTCCCTTCTGTGTGCCTCTGTGTGAATCTGCAGTGAACTCCTGGCCTCTCTTGGCATCCTAGCAGACCGAGTCCTTCAGGCCCCAGGCTCTCCCAAGGATTCTGCCTAGGAATCCTAGAAGCAGAGACCATGGGTGCTGGAAGAAGTTTGCAGAGCTCCACTCCATCGGGTCATTTCACAGAGGTTGGGAGAGGGTTGTTAGGACCTCATTGCCCTGACAGTGTCCTTTGACTATCAGAGGACAGCACCCATGTTAAGGCCTCATGAGAGGGCTTGGACATATTATGAGGCAGCAGACAAGATCTTTTTTTCCCTTCAACTTAATCTGGCCCTCCCACCCTGGGGCTGGCTGTGGGTCCGGCAACAACATCAGTGGGGTGTGCACAGGCTTAGAAAGGTTTCTCCCTGATAAAGCTCAAAATCAGAGAGTTAAGAAAGACACACTTGGAGAGAGACTGAAGGACACAGACAAGGAAAACATACAAACAAATGAAAACCAATCACACTGTGCAAATAAACCATGTAGAGGAAGTGTGTTTATTTTTCACTATGGTGTAGGAACAGGCCTTTCAGTTTAAGTATTTATGGAGGCTATAGATGTGTTATATGGACTATCTGTTTTCAAAAAAGTATTACAGAGTGGGTGGCAGTGGCACATGCTTTAGTCCTAGCTACTTGGGAGGCTGAGGTAGGAAAATCACTTGAGCCCAGGAACTTGAGGTCAGCCTGGGCAACATAGCAAGACCCCAATTCTAAAAAGAAAAAAAGGCTAGGTTCAGTGGCTCATGCCTGTAATCCCAGCACTTTGGGAGGCCAAGGCGGGTAGATCATTTGAGGCCAGGAGTTCGAGACCAGCCTGGTCAATGTGGTGAAATGCCGCCTCTACTAAAAATACAAAATTAGCCAGGCATGGTGTCACATACCTGTAATCCCAGCTACTTGGGAGGCTGAGGCAGGAGAATCACTTGAACCCAGGAGGTGGAGGTTGCAGTGAGCCAAGATT